AGTGCATTTCTGTGGAACTTTGATTGGTGAATATTGAGCTTGTTGTTGAGAATATGTGATTGTTAGAATGTTGTTGTTGAGATATGTGCTATGTGAATTGTAAACTGTTAGGTTGGGCTGGTTTTAAGCAAGTTGTAGTCGTGGAGATTGTAATTGATGAATATTGAGCTTGTTGTTGAGAATATGTGATTGTTAGAATGTTGTTGTTGAGATATGTGCTATGTGAATTGTGAACTGTTAGGTTGGGCTGATTTTATGCATGTTGTAGTTGTGGAGGTTCAGTTGGGGTGTAAGGAGTACCCGTATTCTATCCCCTTAGCTTGTGTTTAGAGGTTTACTAGCTGAGTACCGCGTGGTTTGGTACTCACCCCTTGCTACTACATATTTTTTGTAGGTTACTAGCCCGAACCTTTGTGATATATTCTCTTCTTTTCTGAGGCTTCTTAGAGATTTGTGAGGTAGTTGTTTGTCAACTCAACAGACCTTCTTACTCTTGTTTATAATTTTGTTCTACTCTAGAAACAATATCATATGAGACTTGTTATTTTTCTTTGATTCAATTGTAATACTTTAGAGGCTTGTACACGTGACAACCAGATTTTGGGGGTATTTTTGAGTTTATTATAAAAATTTCCGCATTTTATTGTAATGATTGAGTTTTAGGCTGACTTGTCTTGGTGGGTTAAGACTAGTGCCATCACATCCATTTTTGGGTCGTGACACAAGGCAAAGTATAAAGTGAAACCAATAAACAATATCCTCGGAGAAGGATATCAACCACTTGTTCTTCATTGCAAGTTTACTTCTTAGTTATGGTATATGCTCTTCCACATCTTGAGTCTAAGATGGTGTATGAGATGCTCTAATCTCCATTCCTTCAATGTTGGCATGGAAGGGGTATCCAGAAGGCTTCTCATTCTCTCTGGAACACCATCCCAGCAGCCATTTGGTGGGCAATTTGAAGGAAAGAAACTAGAGATTTTTTTCGAAGAAAGAAGATTTTGTATTTAAGATCAAGCACAACTGTAAAGTTTTGCTTATACTATGTAGATACATGACCACATTAGATGTAAATGATAGCTTGCCTATTCTTGACATTATTAGCTCATTACATAGATTGCAATGGCCTTTCCTTTTTGTAACTTCTCACTGCACTCTTTATGCATTTTTTTAATAAATTAAACAAAATTTATTAATGAGGGCACAAAGCACCCGTATACTAGTATACCCAAAAGTAGAAAATCTTACAAAAAGATATGGTTTTCTACAAAAATCTTAGAGGAATCTCGTGGGTGCACCAAAAAGCAATAAGGGATAAGAGACTACTCCTTAATTATACAAAATCATTTTCTATTCCATCAGAACTTTTTATGCTGTTTTATGAATGAAAGTTACACCTTCCAATCAAGAAAAAAGAGAGAAGAATATAATGAGAGAAGGAATTACTATGACGCTCACCTCCATAAGGATTAAGATGAAGTCTATCGCAGTGAGAACTCCAACAAACTGACCCTTGAAAAAATCCCACAAAGGAGCAACAGAGATTCCCTGGGATAAGCTTTAATCAGATGTCAGCAATTCCAAGCTGTTACTTAGTGAAATGAATAGCAATATAAATTCGATTACTGTCCACAGCAGTAAAAGGAAGGCAGGAGCTACAATTGCAAAGACAAAGTAAATGATGTCCCAATATTTCCAAAACTCAACACAATCATTATCAATATTTGTGCGTACAAATGGAAGTATGGCATATACATTCAATCAATTGCTTCAAAATGTTCGTTTTTGTAAATATGTATTCCACTTATGGTTGTTTTTAAAAGACTGCTGTTAAGGGGATTTTAATCCCCTCAACATGTCACAAAGTGTGGTGCACTCCCCCCCCCCCCAAACCCCCCACACACACCCAATGATGATGCAATATTTAGTTATTCAATTATCCCATTTTTTACCTACCTCATTCTAAATTTATTCTTAAAATTGTTCCATTATGAAGATAATTAAACATTTATAATTATAGATTTTGATTTTCTTTAAAAAATGCTAACTATGTTTAATCACATACTCCCTCCATTTCAATTTGTTTGTCTTACTTTCCTTTTGGTCCCTTTCAAAAAGAATGTCTCTCTTCTTTAAAAAAACATTGTTCCATGAATATTTTCTTTTGACTTACAAATTCATCATTCCTAATAATCAATTGCATAGCAAGAACTATTCCAAGCCCTCAAAGGAGACAAACACTACGAGCACTTTTAGACCGACTCATTCCCCCCGGTTTCATTATGATTGCCTACCTAAACAACTAGCAAGAAATTCTAATGCCAGAAGGTGGACAGCCAGATCATACACAAACAAAATATAAATTCAAAAATCTACAGCCTATAACAGCATGTCTTCAATATGTATAACAGTATTTACCTGCTCATAGAGAACATGAAAAGCTTGTTTTACTGGAAGATTTACATCCAAGGCAATCACCTACAGAAGAAAGGAGAAGGAATTTTTTACATCTTAACTAATAAAAAAGAAAAAAAAACTACATCTTCTCATAATTATCCTGGACTTGTAGGCAGAGAATAGAGACAACATAAATGTGTAGTTACCTTGCCAGACTCTGGGAGTAACTCATAGGCAGTATGTGTAGACAAAAATGCAGATATACGTTGACGAGATAATTCTATTTCAGCCTGTGATATCTGTGGAACTGCATCCTGCACATAGTAACTGATGGTGTGACCAAATTTGTACATCACATGAAAAGGGAGTGATGCTGCGATGCAACTGTTTATTTGTTGAAATGTGATGTCCTCGATATTGAATATCAAAGGTCAACTATTCTACCAATTTACTAGGTAAAATTTCAAACAATTAAAGTCTTAAATTTCCCCTGCAGTTTAAAAATTAGAGACTTTCAAATTACTGCAAAAATATGATGTTCTCTGCCAGGACCACAAATTGCATTGACAATAGTTTCAACCTCTGCATAATATTCCACGACAATGAAAAATGTTGAAAAAAGTAAGCTGAGAAAAACAGAACCTAATTGTCGCACAGAAATATCTCTTCTTTTTTATTAGGGTCACATAGCAATGAAATGACAGACTACTCGATCACTTGAGAATATTCCTTTACCCCAGACATCTTATCCACACAATCCCTGTGGATATCGAACTCGTGGCAAAAAAGAATGCAAAAGCAAAAGGGCCAAAAAAGGTACCAAGATATATGAAATAAATTCAGTAGAAGTGAAGCAGAGCAGGAGCCAAATGCATCAGCTAATAGAACATTTTAGTCATATGAGGTATGTTAATCCTCTTACCAGTCGAAGAAAATCATTATCGACATCCATATTAGATCCAACGGGCACATCTGGACTAAACAGTTCAGGAATAGCATCTGACTCCCTGGGCAAGAAAATTGTGTTGACTACGCCATAATTTCCACTTACAACTGGCTGACGCTCATCATGACGCCATTCTCCATCAACAAAGAACTTGTACTGCAAGTAAGTGAAAAGGCAAATCAATTTTTGCACTATTACAAAAAACATTTTATTAAAATCCTAGTTTTTATTGAGTGTCACTTGAATTTAAGTGAAGTATTAATATTTTCATATAACTGTCATTTCAACTATGTTTAACCAAACGAGGGGTGAAAATGTAATTCAAAAGAACTGAAAGAAAAAAATTTAAAAAAAAAACATGTAAATCTCGCCTCTGCTAAACATATTCCCTATCAAAAGAAGAGGGAACAATGATAAAAGAACTATTTGCAACAAAGCGTGCTTCACTTTATTTCTTTTTACACTGAAATAGAAGCAAACATAAGCTTTTGCAAACATGATAGTACGGAGCAATGAACATATTGGTTTGTGCTAAATGGATTATTATTCTTTGCCCCGCCATGTATGTTACACACTTGTCGACTGAGAGGATAAAGTAACAAGGGATTGCTGGTTTCCTTGAGCACAGAGCAGACTGAAATAGTGGAAGCTGCTCCCTAAGATCAAAAGGAACTAGGAATTGTGAGTTCCTAATTAGCTGGAACTTTAGCACTTCTATATCTTGTTCTAAGTTGTGCTTATGATGTAGTTCCAGAAGTATGTGTCTGATTATGCAGTAATGTTTGCCTCATTGTCTGCAAATAATATGAATTACCCTGAAAAATGTATACTAAATTTGATTTATTAATAGAATTTTGAAACTCTATAGGTCAACCACTCACATTTCAATTTCCTACTTCATTGTGTGTGTGTTTTTAGAACGATTCAATGTGGTTGTTCAAATCCATCCGCACAGAAACAGAGATGTTTGCCAATATAATACAGGTAAGAATATATTTGAAGAGTCTATCATCTTCCTTGATATGCTTACAATGACTTTGCATGCTACAATTGGAAGATTCACTAGTTTCTGTTGTATAGGTTTACATTGGGATTTCCTGAATTGATGTAATGATTTTTTTTTTATCTTGTTTAATTTGTCATAACTTTAAAAGAAAAGTTCACTCAAATGTATCTTTCCTTGCAATTATCCTCCCACCACATTCAAACTATTCTCCATCAAGCAAAACCATAAATCTCCTTCATCCAGAAAAACAAAACACTTCTCATAAGACACTTTTCTAATTTCCAGCTTCACAATCTTTGAAAAGTTTACTCAAGTGTTTTGGAAAGCGAGAAGTAGGAAAAAGCGATAAGGGATCGCTTCACCAAAGCGAGTAACGAAGCGCACACTTTTTTCAGCTAAAGCGTAGTTTAATACAATAATAAAAAATATTAAATTTGCATACAAAAGAAAACCAAGAACTCGATAGAAATAACATATTAAGCAATTCTTTCAATTTTTAAATTAAAAAGTAAATACTCCCTTCGTCCCATTTTGTGTGGCACTATTTGACTTGGCACAGTGTATAAGAAAAAAGAAAGACTTTTGAAACTTGTGGTCTAAGACAATCCTTATATATTTGTGTGGTTGTAAATCATTTCATTAAGGGTAAAAGGAAAATTTTAAAGTAAAACTGTTTCTAATTATAGCAAGATAACATTCTTTTTGGGACGAACTAAAAAGGAAAGGGTGTCACAAAAAATGTGACGGAGAGAATAATAGATACTAGAACTAGGATAACAATGGTACAGATTTTCACCACAATCAGAAGCAAGAAAATAAACTGAATATTTGTAAGCTACAGCAAATACGAAAAGCTAAAAAAAATTACAAAAGCGAGATCGGAAAAGCTGCAGTAAACTAATAGAGGAGGAGAAGAATAGAAAAAATTCAAAGAAAGAGGAGAAGTGAAGAATAGAAAACAAATGAGAAAAGAGAAAAAGAACAAATCGAAGAAAGAGCAGACGAGAAGAAGAGAAGACCTTACCTTTAAATCCTAGAATTGGGAAAAGCAATGGCAAGAAGAACCGAAAAAATGCTAAGATCGTTGCGATCTTAAAAAAAAATAGACCTAAAATCTCGCTTTTTCATAGAAGTGATGCTTCACACTCGCCTCACTTCTCGCTTCTTCTGCTGAAAAAGAGCTCTTTTTTCATCTTGCCTTGCTTTAGTGCCCTGAAGCGCTGGACCCTCGCTTCACACTTTAAGCGCTGAAGTGAGCGTAACACTGGTTTACTCCCTTTCACCTCTCAAACATAATAAAAGAACTAGTTTTTTGAGTGAAGTTACCATTTGACAGTTGCACACCACCAAATAACAGCTCATAAAAGCTCACTGCTAAGGAAGTTACTAACCATTTCTCTTGACAACGGTCAGCGACACAGCCAAATTGTTTGAAAGCTACCAAAAACTTTACAAATTACATATTATAGGCATTGACAAATGCTTGATATAATACAAACCTGGTGATATCCTGGTGTTAAGTTGCAGACAACCTGAAACACAGTTGGGCAGCCCTCCATGGGTGACATTGTTATGTGATCTTGCCACCTGCATAATACCAGATTCCCAAAAAAAAAAAAGGAATGACAATCTCTTACCTAAACCAACATAAATATGAATAATAACAGAAAGAAGAATAGCCCCCAGTGTTTTGGACTGGTAATACGAGTGCAGCACATATGTGGGTTAGGCACGATTTCAACCCTGCCGCACTAGTTCCAAACTGCGCCACTGGATTTATCATATCGAAAAATATACCAGGAAAAAAAAAGTAGATAAAATAACAAACAAAAAAGAACATCAACACCTCACCTAGTGAAAGAGCCACTGAGCAACACTCTTCTTCCCCCATAAGGCCATACAAAACGTGTTGGCATCAAAACAGTACCTGCAACCCCAGTATGATTCTGCCCACTATCACTACCAGACCCAAACATATCCCCTTCACAAAGATTTACACTTACCCCCAAAAAGAAAAAAAACTACCCCAAACAAAAAGCCTGAATTTCCACTTCAATTGATAAATAATCAAAATAAACAATCAGCAAAAACTAAATTTCTCCAATGCCCACTAATTTCCAAAAATCACCACAACCTTCTAATTAAAACCCAATTCTGGGATCCTCCATGCTATAGCAGGGGACCCCTCCTCACATTCTACACATGCAAACACAGAATCGAAACCCTAACACAAATTCTCAATCCGATATCTCCAAAAAAAAAAAAAAATCAGCCAAGTTTCCAAGAATGAACGAAACCCTCTAAATTATCATCAATTCACAAAATATAACAAAAACAATGCAATTCCAAGTCTGATCTGCAGTGAATCCAAAGATTTTCCGTACAAATCGAACAAGAACAAGAAAACCCTAAATTCAGAATTAGAAAAGATAAGAAAAAAAAAAGATTCAGTTTTTGAGAGTAAGGATTGATAGTATCGACATTGATGATAGATCTTTGAAGTTTGTGTGCAATGTGGCGGAAAGTGGAGAAGAGAGAATCATCTATGGAGAAAAGGCAAAAAAAAAAAAAAAGTTAAAGAGAGAAAAAAAATAAAAATAAAAGGACAGATGGGAAAAACAAAAAAATGGTGAAATAATTGTATGTATGTGCGTGCATGTACAAAAAAGATTACGTGTACGGATGTGCAGCTGAGGTGAAGAGAGAAGGAGGAAGTTAGAGCCTACTTTCTTTATATTATTACACTTTTGCAACAAAATTCAACCCAAAAGAGAAGGAAAATTAATTAAAAGTTCTAATTCTAGGGTCATATATGGAGAAATGATTGTTATAATCATTTGGAATTAAGCGGGTTGATGTTCGGTGTTCCATTCAGAATTTTTAAATTTCAGGTGATCAGTAGTGAAAAGTAGATATCGAATTTTTTAATTTTGATATCATAATTCGATAATCAATAGTTAAAAGTAGATCTAGAACCTATGCAACTCCCTCGAACAGTGGGTCACACAAACGGAGGAAATCATAGGGGACTCGAGAAGACCATATATACATGTCTGGTCCAGATCGAGGATTTTCACAAGCGATCATCTTGGTATGTTGTGTGAATTTTGGGTTCCATACTCATGCGTACTTACTTAACTTGTTATTCCTCTTTTGACTGTTGTGCCAAGTATCAAATTTTTAAATTTTGATTTGGTAATTCGGTAATCAGTAGTTAAAAGTAGATACTAAAAATCGTATTTTAAAATTTGCTTCGATAATACGATCTAGATACATTAAACTTTGTTTTGATATAATATTCGGTAATACAAGTTCATCACTCTTTTTTCTTTTAAGATTACGATAATTACCTATTTAAATTACCTTTGAGATATTTTAAAATTCAATAATTATATCATTTTTACATTCTAATCCCATTCTAAATAGTACAATATCTTCCCATTACCGAAATAAATATTAAAGTATATTTTCATGCAGTTTTTTTATTTTAGGGCAAGACAATCATTTTTTTTATAGATTGAAATAATCATGAAGGGATTGTATTAGGTATATATTTTGAGCATCCCTCCTCAACTCAACTAGTAAAGAAAAGAGGAGAACTATTAGGGAAAAAAGTTGGCTTAAATCTTGAATAAAAAGGAAGGGATTTGGTGAAGTGAGAATTATGCAAATCCTAAAAGATATTTGAACATCTAAAGAGGATTTGTAGAATTCTCATTTCACCATATTTTCTCTCATATTTAAGTGATTTGTTTTCTGACACGCATTGTAAAAGATAAATTATTAAAGAATTATATTAATGTGAAAGTCCATATATAATCACGTTGAACACGAATTTAATTATAAACAACTCATCATGCATTAGTTTCCTAAAAGGTTAGAAATATCCTATTGTATATAGGGTGTGTTTGGTATGAAAGAAAATGTTTTTCATGGAAAATGTTTTCCTTGAAAATGTTTTCTTGGAAAACAAGTTGATTTCTAACTTATTTTCTCATGTTTGGTTGGTGAGTAGAAAATATTTTTTAATGTTTTTGGTTAGAGAATGAAAAATTATTTCCAGAAACTATCTTTTATTTTTGGCTTGAGACTAGAAAATATTCTTTAGGAAAATAATTTATGATCCGAAAATCAATCCCGATAATTGATCTAGGACCCGACCCTCACACCAGAATTAGGACAAGACCCCGATGACCGTTCTAAAATCTGACTTTGAGATCTGACCCATGACCTGAGGTAGGAGTAAGGTCTATGTATATTTTACTCTCTCCGGTGATGAGGGAATTATGATCAAAGTTGAGAATGAAATTAAACAAACATAAAAAAAAAACTAACTCAATTTACTCTTTGAGGTAGGAATAAGATATATGTATATTCTACTCTTTCCAGATCCTACGTTTAGGACTACACGTGGCTTGTTGTTGTGTGAAAGTTGTAATGAAGAAGATAAATAAGGAGACACAGACAAATTTGACGAATTAACAATTTAGCTAGTGTGGTAAACGTCAAATTAGTCCGTGTCTCCGTATTTATCTTCTTCATTACAACTTTCATACAATAACAAGTCATGTATAGTCCCGAACGTGGGATCTGAAGGGAGAAGAGTATACATAGATCTTACTCCTATCACAAAGTGATGGAGATGTTCTTGACTAGAGTAACTTTCACACACACTAGAATTTCATTTTGTGAAGAACATAAGGCAGTGAAGTTTGAAAACACTCTAATTCAAAAGGTTTGAAGTTGGGGATTGCCAAGTCTAATTCAAAACCAAAAAACTGATGTTTGACTTCAACTTCAATAATTTGGATTTGAAGTTAGGTTTGACATTCTCAAATTTCACCCGTATGTCTGAAGTTTCTGCAATTTTCAATTTCAATCTCACACGTCTGAATTTGACTATAAATACATCATTATCCCATTTAACTACAACACTTTTTTAAAAAAGACACTGAAACTTTGAAAAGGTCCTAATACCCTCTTATTCTTATTTAGAGTGGATTTATTATCCCATTATGATCCTATGTGGTACATGGAGTGTAATTCACTCGCCACTAGCGAGTGAGACAAGTAAGAAAATATTATTTATTTATTTTTAACATTTATTTAATTAAAATATTATTTTCTTTTACTTTATTTGTTTTATGGTTTTTTTTTTTTTTTTATCGTCCTTCATCAACGTTTACCCAGAAGAGTTCTCGGACTCATTTTTTAGCTGAGGGAGATCAAATTAATGAGATTATTGGCAGATAAAGAGATGAAAGCGGAGTGAGGTTGTGGAGGACGATCGGAAAAGACCGGTGAGAGAAGCATCAAAGATTTGACGACGACGGAGGGAGAATCGTCGGGGTCACGTTCAAACCCAGTAAAAAATTACCCTATCTGAGTTAGAGAGAGAATTTCAGTCATTGTAGATACAATAAATATTGATTTTGAGCAAAAATTAAATGCGAAATACACAGTTGAACGATCGAAGAAGAAGCGCCGGAGATTTGATAGTATTTTTTATTTTTCAATTTTATTTTTGATTTGCTAGAGAAAATGATTGAGATGGTGTTAAAGTGTGTGGATGGTGGCTATGGTAGAGAATCGCCGGCGGGCGGCAGCATGAAAAAAAGGGGTCACTAGCGCAGTTAACATTGAAGAAGAAGAATAGGGAACTTTTTATTTTTTTTAGAAAAACAAATAGAATAAGTAACATTTATGAAAATAAAAATATAAAAAATAAAATAATTGACACGTGGTAAGTATCAGTTGGTGCGTGTATTCACTTTCCTTCTTAAACTTGGGGTTGACCGAAAAATGAGGCACTTTTACCACTTTTAAATTGTTTAAGGGGTTACTAGGACCTTTACAAAGTTCAAGTGTCTTTTTAAAAAAAGTGCTATAATTGAATGGGGTAATGATGTATTTTCATGATTAGTGATTTTCTAACTATATTTCTTTAGACAATGTTCCGCCAGGCTGTTATTTGTGCACTTGCCCTGCACCATATCCTAACTTGGACCTACCCAAAATGTCTGGAATAAATCCAACCTTACGAAGAGGCCAGTTGAAACCATTGAAGAGATTATGGACGGAGCTAACAATGATGAAGGAAACGATACCCAGAGCTCGAAACTTAGATCATGCAATGACTGATATTGTTCAACATAGACATTTCAATTTATGCATATCTCTCTCCTGTGCAAGCTCATATGCTGCATGTTAACTCACTGAACAATGTCATTCTAAAGAGAGAACGACCAAAGACAGCAAAATGGTTAACTTTTGCTGGAAAATTTGCTCATGAAGATTGTAGGCAAATTGAAACTAAATCAAATTATATACAAGCAAATAAAAGGATAAAGCATATGCCGAAGCAAAGTCTGTTATAATATCTGAGCTATTGCAGTTTTTTGGTAGTTATGATTACATTCCTCAGTCGGCAAATATGTATGAGATTTCTGCATCTGTGCAACTAAGAAGTAACTTCTCCCCCATAAGAAATGTAGTACTGCAGAAATGTGCAAATTAGTTAAGTATATTTACTCCTAACTAGTAAAAATGTTTGTCCTGCTAAATCCCTAGACACGTTCAGATATGAGTATCGCCAAAAAAGGAATTAAGGACCTAACTCCAAACAGCACCAATAGTGGAGCCGCAAAAAATAGATTGTGTGAGAGTTCGTCAAAATCTTCACTGGTCAGTAACACTGTTGGGCTTTTTGTTAGTGTTTTCTGTTCCCTTTCCTGGGGTACTATCTGACACTATAATGTTGGTAAAAAATGTGTCACTTCTTTACCCAATGCTTAAATTGGAACATCTGGACAGTAATTCCTGTAACGAAATTCAAAATAAGCAATGTTATCAGAAATTACTTGTATGTAATTATTTTTGACAGTAAGTACTTATAAGTAATGTTATAAAAACTGTACTGTAGAACTACCACATGTTCTCCCTCAGGGGTTAAGATCCAGGAGGAACTTCGGGTACTGGGCTTTTCTTATTCTTCAAATGTGAATTTCAGGTTAAATGAAAGACCATGCAATCTAATGAAAATTTTGCAAGATCTTTGATTTGTTTCAACGACAAAGAGACTTATAATGTAGCAATTAAAAAGCTATTAAGAGTATTTTGTCCTAAAGCCCCCATTTGTTATTATTCTCAAAAATTTCACACGTCACAGCATCAGAATCAGGGTCATCTAAATCTCACGAGTTCTGAAACCCTACCTTCTAATGGTCCACATTAAAAGATACAGAACAATGCATTTTAATCTTCCCAAGTAAGATATAGACAATGGTGGTGCAAGTCGTGATGTTCTGCAGATACTGATGCAATATAAATTTGTAGGAGGTGCATTGAGAGCATTAATATGTATTCTCTTTTAGTATATAGAGACTAATAAAAAGAAGCAACCTGATATTTTGTTGAGTTGAGGTTCTCAGCCTTCTGTTTTTCAATCAGCTGGCTTGTAGTTTCACCACTCAACTTCAGATGCACAACCTGAAAAGAATTTTCAGTTGAGAGTCATTAACTGGTCCACTCATATTCTTTTTTTATGAAGTAGTTTCATTGATACCAATTAGATGCAATGAGTTGT